TATAAGAGACAGGGCTACACCAGGGTTCAGCACCCCAGGCCTGCCCAGCAGCCGGTGGGCACCGGAGCCCGGGTGCTTCTCGCAGCTCGCGGGACGGATGGCAGCAGGCCCTGCAAATTCACCGTCACACCGCTCCGGCAGGATGGTGGCCAGAGCCAAGCGGAGCTCTGCAGTCACATTGCGGGAGAGGGTGCCAGGCCAGAGGGCATCCAGGGGGCAAGGATGGGGGCACGACGTGGTGCCCACCTGACGTGGCCCTGCTGCAAGGCTGTGGGGGTTGCCAAGGAGGCAGCGTGTCCTGGGGAGTGCACAGAGGCAGGAGCGGGGCTGGCAGGTCCATTCTGGGCCACGGGCTATCGGTACCGGCAGGCCAGCGCATTCACGTTCTTCACCACATAGAAGCTCATGGTCAGCGGGGGGATGACCAGGGTGCGGCCAGCCCGCAGCGGGCGAGGCTTCAGCTCGGGGAGGGTCCCATCGTCCACCATGGCCAGTGGCTGCCCATTGAGCTGGACGGACCTGTGGGACCAGGAGAGGGTCAGGGTGGTGGCATCAAGGATGGGTGGTGGTGGCAGCCCCAGCCATCAGCATTACACTTACTTGGAGTGGAGCCCGTCTTTGCCATAGGGCTGCAGCAGGTACTGGTGGACGATCTTATCCCGCAGTGTCCCCGCCAGCTTGATTTTCTTCCGGGAGCGATGCAGGTTGATGATGTAAAGGGTGATGGACCCCCGGACGTAGTTGTGGCTGCAGAGGGGAGACCGGGAGCTAAGGGGTGCATTGGCACATGCCCTGGGACCATCACCTCCAAGAAGTGGTTTGGGGGTCTCTGCAAGAACCAGCCTTGTGCAGCCATCATCCAGAGGGGACATTGCTGTCCCAGCTGCCCCTCCACAGGGAGATGTCACCTCCCCATTGCAAAGCCTGGCTCTGCGATGATACCTTTCTGATCTCCTCTTCCCCTCCTCAGCCAGGGGTGTCATGGCTCGAGAGGGTGCTGTGCCAGTGTCTGGAGCTGGGGGGGTGGTGGTCCTGGGGCAGGCCCCCCCCCCCCCGGGTGTCACAAGGAGGAGGCTAAGAATGGAGGGGAGCTCTGTGCACAAGTGGCGTCTGCCCCTGCTGCCCTGGGCACCTAACTGACAGGTCCAGACACTGATCCTCTGTCCCTGCCTAATCAGGCAGCCCCAAACAAAGGCTATAAAGCACTTTGCACCTGTCAGTTACTGGACAAGGTTTCCTACCGAGCTGGAGGCATGTTGAAAGCATCTGGACTGTGTAAAGAAACAGACTCTCCTCCTCCACAATAGCAACTTGTGTCTGCAGAGGAGGTGGCCGCCCCCCTGGCTCGCTGGGGCGCTTTCAAAGACCTTATCAGCGAAACAATAACCAGGCCGGGCTCCGCGGCAGCCCGGCCTGGCAGGTAACCCGACCGATCGGGGCCCCCTCGTGTGAAATCCACTCCCTTGATCTCTGCTGCTGGGGCTGCCCAGCGGCCACCGCACTAGTCCTGGCCGGCCCTGTTCCCAGGCATAGGCCTGCCACAACTTTCATCAGAGGCATCGCCATTCCGGCGCGCTCCCTCCACTGCCACAGCAGCCAGAGCAGCGCCCAAGGGAGTCCCCTGGGAAGCCAACCTGCCTTGCTGGAGCCAAACCCTGAGCTCCTGCCCCAGCATGCCTTTGGTGGTAACCATCTCCTGGGGGTCCCACTTAACCCCCCACCTGCAGCTCCCAGCCTCCCTCACTCTGCTTACTTGTGGTAGCTGGTGCAGTGAGCGTAAATGCGGAGCTTGTCGCGAATGACCCTGCCGGGCCGGGGTTTCCTCTGAAGACCAGCCACGTGGATTGCCAGGACCTTGGGACCAATGAGGCGCTTGTAGAGCAGGGACAGCCAGTAGTCCTGGGGGACAGAGGGGACAGTCAGCAGCACGACGGTCCTCCCGACTCACAGCGGGAGTGGGCAGGAGAGGCTGGCTTCCCTCCTTACAGCCTAGCAAAATTTTGGCTGTGGGGGTGAAAATGTTGAGTGCCAGATATCTGCTTTGGGGTGAGCTTTTTTTGTGCAGTCCAAGCCAAAATGACATCGCTGTTTCCAGGAAAGAGATTAAGGGAGGAATAAATTTCTCTGCCCACGCTGAGAGACATCAATACCCTCTAAAGGGGCTCAGCCTTTGGCTGGGCTGGCTACAGAATGTGGGGAGTGGCAAGGATGCCCTCACGCATTCCCACTGACCCGCACAGCCATGCTGTGGCCCTGTGCACCAGCTCCAGCTGATGCAGACAGGATGTTGATGTCTCTGGAGCAGGCAGGTCTCCCTCTACCCCACTCTTTACACAGGGCTGGAGCACACCAGAGCTCCCCCATGCTCTCCAGCTCTGTTCATGGTACTCTGGCTTTGGTTACTGCTGGGGGTGCTCCATTTCCCAGAGGTATTTCTCCCATTTTAAAGCCTGCCACGGAGTTAAGCACCCATGAACATAGCACAGGGAAGCCAAGCACTCAAGAAATAGGAAATGTTCAGCCTTTGCACACATGCATTAATGATGCAGCCTTTAATTACATCACCACATACTACTTTTTCCCGCAGGGCATGGCCTTGCTCAGCACAGAGGATGGGCCCCAAGCCCCAGGAAGGGAGGTGAGGCTGTGCAGTGACGAAGGCCGCTGCCGGCAGGGCCCCCCACTCATCCGCTGCAGAAGCTGGGAGGTGTGCAGTAAATGAAGCAGGATTCTGGGAAGGGAAAGAGCAGGCTCAGGCGCTCGCCTGCTATTCTGCAAGACAGGTTCTGGCCCTGCTGCTGCTCTGGACACCCTGGGTGATGCTGGGGAGATGGAGCCTCTCACGCTGCTTCTCTGGGTGCTGTCTGTGGGTGCACTGGGCACCACCTGGGTGCAGGGGCACCTTCGTATTCATGAGCACTCTGGATAAACCCCCTCTGCGTGACCCAGACTGGCTGCCCCAGAAGGAACACGTGCCCCAGGGCAATTGGGATGATCCCCCATCTCAGCTGGCCATGTCAAACTCCCAGTAGTGATGGTCATGCTGGCACCAGGCACTGCTCTGCCTGGCAGTGTCTGACCTGCACGGCGAGGAGGGCTGCTGATGTGGAAAGGAGCATGGATCAAGAACCCTATGGCTCTGCACACTGCCTGGGGAGGCATGAAGAAAGTCCTGTGTGGTCAGGATAGTGCCAGGAAGGGTCTGCTACCCCAGAGGGGCGGGGGGAGTGGGGGTGGAATGGGGTGTCCAGGGCACCAGGCTACAGGGCAGGATGGGCAGGTGGAACTGCAGATCCCCTACCCATCCCGTGGGTGGGAAGTCCTCACAAAGAGCCCAATTAATAGGCATTTTGGATGAAGAGGCCAGTAGATGAAATACAGAGCAGTGCTGCAGTAGCACGAGGGGAATATCCACCCGACAGGCTGGACTGTGGGCCCCATCCTCTCTCCAGCCCAGCTCAGCAGAAGCTGACCTGTTCCAGCAGCACTGGGTTGGCTTGACAAAGGGAGATCCAAACCCACTTCCCACTTCCTGGGTAAGCCTTTGCCACAATGCTGAAGAAGAGCCACCTCCTGCTCTTCTCTCACTGCTCCCAGCCAAAACCACGGGGCTTTGTGCCACACCAGCCTGGTAACTGCTTCCTCTGCAAAACCCAGGCCCTGGAGGAGACACGAAGGTGAAAGGGAGAGACTTGTGCATCCCGAGAAGGCTCAGCCCAAGAGACTGAAGCTCCTGAGGAGGACGAGATGCAGTTGTTTAATACTTCAGACGTGTGCCACCCTGCAGGTGCATGCCACCATCTCTGTCCCTGCTGGCTGGCAATGCTGCCCCGCACCCTGGGGCCGTCCCTGCCTGCACCACGTTGCAGGGGCTGTGCCAGCCTTTCCCTGCCGTGGGAAGCTGTGTCAGCCCGCCCTGCTCAGACTCCTGGCAGGCAGCAGCAGCAGTGCCCAGCACATTGCCGGCTCCCCAGTGAGCCACGCCAATTAGCAGGCGTCATTAGATGAGTAATTACTTGAGTTTACTGCGAGGCCAGTGAGCACAGATTGCAGTGTTTAGCCCCATGAACATGAGTTAAAAATAAATGAGTTCAGTGCCCCAAGCTACATGCCAGCTCAGGCTCTTAGGTCTTTCTAGCAGCCCCCTTGGGGCTTCTTGCCTCGTCTCCTTATTTCCACCAAAGGGTTGCTGCTTTCACCCACAGGTTATGGGAGTGATAGAGGCCAGAGACTTCGTGGCTGCCCTCAAAATTTCCATATGGGTCTCAAGAGCAGGGGGTTTGCGACAAACTTGTCATGATGAGGAGCTGGCACCAATGGCTCCCCTCCAGGCAGGGTGGTCCCCAGGGGTTTGCTGATTTGACACCAGTTCCCTTCACTCCCAAGGCTCAGCAGCAGCAAGGTGTGCACTGTGGGGTGCGGGGAGCTGCCTAGTCCCACGACCTGCCCTGGTTGCTGCCAAATCGCACGTCTCGGCATACAGTCTTCCCAAAGGTGCTCTGACAAACCCTGCTCCCTTGCAGAGCTGGGGGAGCTGAGCCCAGGGCTCTTGCCATGGCAGCTGAAAGAGCTGTGCCATTCAGCATCTCCTGAGCTGAGCAGATGCTTGTCTCTCTGGGAAGCATTGGCCACGTTTTGTGAGTTTCTGATCCAGCAAAGGGTGCACAGCTTTTTTGAGAAAAACTGTGCAGATGCTATGAGTAAGGCAGTCAGCAGTGATGCAGGGTGAGCTGTTCTGCAAAGTGTGAGATGACCACAGCTCAGTGTGCAGTATTTCAGTGCAGGCAATGCCCCCAAGGCAGCATGGGGACTGACCTCTCCCTACAGCATCTGCAGAAGGTGAGGGTAGAGCAGTGATTTTAACTTGCCTTGCTGGCAAGGCTAGCTCTGAAGTATCTGTTTTGAGAAGGATGTGGAAATACCAAAGAGAGTTCAAAGGAGGGCCAGAAAAACGACCCAGGGCTAGAAAAGTTGTCAGTGCTGGCCTGGAGGTACTTGAGCTCTTCAGCTTACTGCAGGGAAGTGCTGAAGACAGCTGCAGCTTTTCGCATCATCGCAAACCCGCTTGCGGCAAGGGCCAAAAATCACGTTACTTGCAATAAATTACCAGGAGCTGGTGACACTGAGCATTTGGATGATGAATTACACACACACCTAGCATGATGGAAACAAACTTGCTGGGTGCAGGCACTTCCCCCAGTTGGGCTGGTGCTCCGGGGCTGCTCCTACCACTGGCATGAGTTAAAATCACACCAGGGCTGATGGGGACCTGCAGCTACTGGCTTCTGTTCAAATGGTGATCAGCTTGGGAAGCAGTTGCTCTTGAAACCCAGCATGGCTGCAACCAGGGTGGCTTTTCCACTGATCAGTGACCTATTCCTAGACTGCTGAGAGCACCTGGCACCCCCTCCCATATGGCAGCACTCTCATGCCCCTTGCAAAGACAAGTGCCCACCTGGCAGTGTGGTGCCCGGCATCTCGATGGAAGCAGCCCTGACAATGCCTAGGGAGACGTGTGGCTCCAAGCAGTGCAAACATAGAAAGGATTTGGCTTCTGGAGTCGCAGAGGGCTCCCGTTGTGAGGGCTGAGCCAGCACTACAGCTGTAGCAGCAGAGGAGGAATAGCAGACAGGAATCTGGTCTGCTATTAGTCCCCCGGGAATCAAGGGAGCTTTCCTGCTTTAATTGTTTTGCAGACCCATTAAGCAGTGCTGCCACTGCAGCCCTCAGAGCTGCAGGCGAGGAGCACCTGAAGGCAGAGCCGTCCTGCGCCTCAGGAGGTCTCCTGGCCAGGAGGGGCACTTGACTCAAGTGAGTTGATGTGCAGAGCTCAGGCCAGCCACATCTCCTGAGCCCCATGGGGCCAGTGAAGATCCACGAACTTTCCACTAGACAGGGAAAGCTCAGAGGGTCATAAACTGATCTCTTTGCACATTTTAATTAATTGCAGGAGCTTTTAGAGACTGCAGCTTTTGGAAATAAGACCGATTAGGCAGACCTTCAGACAGACAGACCTATTAACCAGGCTCTCCTGTCTCCAGAACCATCAGGAAGGGTGCAGTATATATCCCCATGCTCTCTCCTAGGGGCAGCAAAGCAACTCTACAGCCCACCTGAGTTTGTTCAGCTTCGCGCTCACCACATGTGAGAAGATGTTGCCATAACCAGAAAACTGGAGTAACAGAGCTGTATCCCTTTGCTTTCCCAGGGACTGTAACTGGCAAAGGAAGCCAAACTTAAAATGAGCAGGCTGCTGACCCCACAGTGCACAGCCTCCTCTGGCTGGGGCTGCCAGGGCATGGCTCTGTGTCCCCATGTCACTGGCAGCATCAGCTGGCTGCTGCTCACCCACCTTCTCTTCCTCCTGCTCTTCCCTCTCCTAAAGCTGCCCAAGCTCTTCCTCCATCACTCAGACACACTTGAGTTTCAACAGCCTGTTAGAGATCGCTCCATTCCTGCACTTTCATCTGCCTTTTTCCACAGTCCATCCAACCCGTATAGAGATACGGTCTGTCTGGTCTGCCTTCCTGTACATCACAGCATGGAGCTTTGCTCTTTTATCCCTCTGTTGAGCTTGATGGCTCGTTTTTGGCAAAAGCATATTCCAGAAAAGTAGTGACTGTGGTTGTGAGGGCTTGGAGGGACGGAGAAGCTGCCACTTCCCAGGGAGTCTGTTCCAGCGGTTAAACATCCGCACTGTTAACAATCCCACCCCTTATTTTCAGCTTGAATTTGTCTGGCTTCAGCTTCCAACCAGTGGTTCTTGTTCTTTCTTTTTCCACTATATTAAAGAGATCCTCAGCATCCAAAGCTTTCTCCCTGTGGAGGTCCTTACATCCTGTTCAAGCCACGGCCGGTCGTTCCTTCAGCAAGGCTGGACTAATGCCGCTTTTAACATT